GAGTTGTGGGTGACCAACTCAAAGGGGGCACAACACCAAGTTGATTGATTAACAGTCTATTATTGTTGACCATAATACACACCCATTTAGAATAATTTTCAAATAGTTCAAATACCATTCAACTGATGGCAATTATATATTATTAAATTATTTGAATGCTGTTAATCAATAGAACTTTACTGAAATATGCTAAAATATAAGTTCCATTTAGAGTAAAATATTTACACCCATGATTAAAATCGATGACAGGAAACATCTCGATTGCTAGTCATTAGAACTTTATGGTCTTCAAAAATGCAGAACAGTATGTTCTATTAACCCACTTACTTAACATTCAGAATTAAGACACTTGACAAGAACTGGTCACAAATGTAGGCCTTTGTAGCTTCACACCCACAAGGCCAAGTTAAGAGATAAGGAAAGCCAAGTGGCAAGAGAAATAATAATAATAATTTTTTTTTTTTTTGCCCAAGAGATGAAATGTTCAACTCCGAGGAACAAACATATTTATTGCTTACGTTTTAGTAGAGTTCTTCTACCCTCTTCAGAGCCTAAAAAACACAAAAAGAGTATATTTGTTGTAAAGTTACACTTCAGAATGAACTTCCTGGTACAAATTGTAAAATAAAAATATAATTCTCAAACAACCTAACAATTTGAACAAATCTTTAAGAAGGAAACTCATGAAGGTTTAAGTAATGTGGAATCTTTGGATATACAGTGGCACCCTGAAAATCCAGACCTCGATACATCAAATTTTGCCAAAATCCGGACAAAATCCATTATATAAAATAATTTTAATGAAATAATTTATTATTAATTTCATTATCTTACTTATTTATAAATATTATTAAATAAAATGCATTTATATTTGAGAAACGTTTCACCAAGCTATTTAATCTGGGTCCCAGGAAGGGGAAGTACAGTTGGTTTGATTTTTGACTCGCAATCGGGAATTCCAGGTTTAAATCCTGAGTGGGACAGAAATGGTTGGGTGCGTTTCCTATCACATAATACTCCTGTTCACCTAGCCATAAATAGGAACCCAGGAGTTAGCTTCTTGTGGAGTTCCATCCTGGGAAGGGTTGATAATTCAACCTTTGGGGGATGGGGTGTGGACCTCAAGATAAGTCTAACATGAATATTGTATGTACACTGGCTGCCTGTCCCCCTGACACAATGAATTAATTACATGTCCTATAAATTGAACAAGAGAGTTTAGTAACAATTTGTCTAAAGAGTTCATAGCTGTAGTGAGGTGAGCTGAGCTAGTGAACAGGTACCATCTATGTCCATGTGACAGTATTCTTCCTCTTTCCTCACACTCCCAGCACATCCCTTCCCCTAATCTAACCACACCATTTCCTAACCCTCTCCCCAATTCTTACCATCCACTCTCTACCCTACTCATTACTACTACCTGCCCAGCCAGGTGCTCACCTACCTGCCTGGATACCCACCCCTTGCCTCTTCTGCCCACCTGGTTGACGCCTCCCACCTTCCCACCGAATAATTTCTATTTCTAGCCCGATCCTATCCACCCAATCCTGCCCACCCAAACTGGCCAGCTCGATCCCTCTAGACCGCGACCAGATCCCTCTTGCCAAACTACCCAATATTCCTCCTGCCCTACCCTTAGATCCCTCACTCCCACCTGCCTGCTCTCTCCTGACCAAATCCAAGATTCCTACTGACCGCCAGATCAAGGTGTGTGACCTCTCACTATTTTGCTACCTCTGGTTAACCCATGTATTGCACTTTAGTTTAATATAACACATCCCTTGTCTGCATAAAATTATTCCCCCCAATATTTTTTCAATTTTTTTGTTAAAATGTGTTCCTTAATCATGGGAAACTTAAAAACAAGCATCGAATGTAATGAAATCCCAATTTCTGGGTAAGCCCCAATGGCTTCCAGAAGTTACCATCTCTGATACAGGTGCCAATTACTATGTGCTATCAGAGTTCTCTGGCCTACTGAGCACCCAGAGCAAGAACCTGGTTCCCTCACAGAGGTGAAGGGAGCTGTGGTATTTAAATATTAAGTTATTCATTTATGCCACCACTGAGGAAGGCACCCAGAAAGTCAGGGAGGCAAAACAAATAACTGGCTGCCTGTGAGACCTCCAGGCTCAAAAACAGCCATAGAAGTCCCCAAAATATGTAAACAAATGATCGAAAATGTTATAAACCGGCACCCGCTAGATTGTCCCACCCTCTCCTTCCTTTAGGGGGGATGGGGGAGGGATGTTTGTGAGCCATGGCTTGGCCCCCAGGCCGCTCCACCATCAGTTTGACGAATGCCGTAAGAACCCGAATCCCTGTGAAAGGGAGGGTGTCAGAGAGCCAACGGGGTCTCCCAGAAATTGCTGTTTCAATACATTCAATGCTGGGTTTTTTGGGAAAACCCCCAATGACTCCCAAAAGCTATCCACGGAGAAGGTAGTCTTAGAAAACTTCTCACCCCTGAAGGCTGGTTGAGGAGTTTTTTGTTGCATATTGGCTTGGGGACCATTCAAGTGTGTTCACACAAATATTACTCACGTGGCCCCCAGCATGAGAGGTGATTTGATGAAATATCTGTGCCCAAAACAGTCACCGAGTGCTGTTGGGAATTGGGTTAAGGGTCTGACAACTTCCAATTCTTTTAACAGTCATTGTGGCTTAGCGGTGAATGTACTGGACACCCCAAGGTGCATGGAGCCTTTGGCTGTCTGGGCTCGAATTCTTCAGGGGGTGAGGAGTTTTCAGTTTATTTATTTATATACTGTGTGTGTGTATATATGTATGTATATATGTATGTGTATATATACACTATATATATAGAATAGAATAGATGCAGTTTATATGCAGAAAAACCACACTGAAATATGCAGTATATATATATCGCAATGAAACCACAATGGCGTGATGTATCAATGAAAATCATTTTGAGGCAATGGGGTGACTCTAACCCATGTTCTGGCGAGTCCCCGACACCTCCCTTAACCCAATTCACCTGTCTGGGAATCACTAGGAAAGCAGGTTCAAGTCACTGCATTCCCTCAAAATGAGTTTCATATACTGTATTTATATACTGTATATACTATATGTGTTTTTATTTATATATTATATATAATGTGTGTTCAGGAAAACTTCAAAATTTAGATTACATAATTCCAAACCCAATCCAGATTTGTGTAAAATTCCAATTTCATGAAATTTTCATTTTTTAGGCAATTGCCAAATTTTCTATATTTTCATGTAAAACCCCAAATATATATAAACCATAACATTTTTACCATGGCACCAAATTTATCTTATAATATTTCTATTAAAAACATGATCAGACACATTAAAAGAGTTACCATTCAAAGTCTAATAATTTCCCACACTCTATGGGATAAATTCACTTAGCAAAATTTTGATTTTAACCTAACATATGTTGAATTTGGAGAACTTGTTTGTAAATAGATTTCACCATATATAGCTTATTTCATATGCCCCAGCCTCAAACCTCTTTTTCAAGTACTGTAGGTCGTTTGTGTTCCAAATGCCCTAGAGTACTGTGGTATGTGGTATGAACATACCAAGTGAGTTCATACCAAAGCAGGAAGGCCAATACCTGGGTGAATGAAAATTGTGCCAATTTAAAATACAAATGAGCCATAAAATCTTGTTTTATCTATGTTCAATAGTTTTCCCAAGACTCTGTCTGATTTTCTCATTATTGTAGCTACAAAAATAAATTTTAATGGAGCCTTATTACAGGAATTACTAATTATACTAGAATATGAACGATAACATTTCCCAAGCTCTAATGACAAATTTCTCTAAGTTAAATTAAAATTTTATCCAATTATATGATGGTTAACTGCCAGGAGGAACTGTCTGGTAATGGGTTTTCCTCATTGCCTACCTTTCTCAGGATTTAGCCCCTTTAAAGTTTATTTTTCAAAGGTAGGACCATGGAGCCAGTGAACCTGATTCACCAACTTTCCCATACCCCAAATTCTTTCTTTAACCAAGAGTTTCTATGAAATACCCTGAGAACTCAGTCTAATAGCTAGGATGATACTGTTCCATACTCATTTCCAGAAATACATTTCTGGCACTTCCACTGACATAAACTCTGACATCCTATGAATTAAAAAAAAAAAAAAATTAAAAAAAAAAAAAGATCTGTAGGAAATTACTTTGGATAATGATTTGGATTTCACAGCAGCCCACTCCGGAATCCAGACTTTTTTTTATGAAAATATGAATTTTGGAGGGGATATTTGGTGACCGATTTTTGTTCCGTTATTTGAAGGGATATGTTTTAGAGAGGTCCAGATTTCGGAGGTGCCACAGTATAAATATATACTACAGTATGTATATATGTATATATGCATATTATATATATATATATATATATATATATATATATATATATATATATATATATATATATATATATATATATATATATATATATATATATATATATATATATATATATATATATATATAATATAAATATATATAAAAGCCACATATGTGATTTAGAAGTCTGACTTTTCCAGTAGTAAATATTCTACAGTAATATGAATATTGTGTCATTATTTATTATACATATATTATACAGTACATATGCACACATATATACACACACAATAACACACACAAGCCAACATTCACAAGTACACCCACCAACCTTAAGGAAATCACAGTAAGTATAAAAGTTCTGGAAACAGGTATGACATTTTAAGTCAGACATTTAGTCAACATTGACCTTTGAAATTTCCTGATCATGTAGTAATTGTCCATCAAAATGATGAATAAATATTTGACCACTTCAATCTCTGTCCTGTTTCCACAACTATGTAAATTTACACATGAAAACAAGCACACACACACACACACTCTCACATGTACACAAGCAAACATTTTGACATGTGACTAACATTAATGTATTGTTTAGGCAAGACTCCTGGATTCACTACTGCACCAAAGCGAACAAGAAGCGAGGCGACCCTTACTCAAGCTGGAAACGTACCCGCGCTGGGCGGTGCAGAGTTGCTGCCCTCTGGCCTCCAGCCATAGCACCAGCCGGATACTGCTCCCGACGAGCTGGCCGTGGCAGTGATCTGAACTGCTGAGGTGGTGATGGGGGTGTGCTAGGGTACTCGGTAGGAACAGGAGTCGCAGTTGACCCTGAAAGTAATATAGTATGTATGTTTTTAGATAACGGCATAGATCACATTTAAGAAAATCTGAATAAAGTAATGGTAAGTTTTCCTTAAATTATAAGTAAACTTCTTGTGGACCAGCACCAAGAATAAATGGAGTCCTTCCAAGAATAAAATTCTAGTGTAATCTATTAAGTATAATACAGTAGCTGCTCCACCAATAGTTCTTGTACTGATATATTTGTGCCTGGTTGCCCGCTCAGTTTGCTCTGGCTCCAGTCTCCTGTCATCAGCCAAGTGGTGTTTTACCTTTGAGACCTTTCCTGTGCATGTGTGTGCAGTGAGAGCCAGGAGTTTAGTGTACTTGGAGCTGTATGTGTTCAGGGTTTCCTGTCTTGTGTGCTCCTTGAGTACTGCCATTGCACTGTCAGGGTTCTTTTCCCTGGAGTGTTTGGGGGTTCACTCCCTCAAGGGGTCTCTTTGCTTATGGTGGCTCTCGCCAATAAGGTAAGCTGGTTGTCTGTGACTGACTGTCTTTCTGCATGTCAGGAGTAGATTTTGGCTGGAGGGATGCATTGTGGTTTGTGTGACCTAGCCAGAGCTCCCAGGTTGTCCCTGCAGCTTCTATGTGTGGCTTGGTCTATGATTCTCCCTGGTGTACTCGTGCTCCATGGTCTAATGCTTGAGAGTTGTGCTATTAATTTTTACTTTTTGGTCCTTTTGGGGCAGTTTCCATTTACTTGTGCCACTTTCACTTGGGGGTTTTCTCCATGCCCTTATGATTTATTAGGCTATACCTAGTGTTAGCATGCAAGTGTTTCCCTTTTTGCTTCTCTCTCTTGCTCTTTCTGCTAGAGTCAGATGTCCAGGGTGCCTACCCTGCAAAAGCACAATGTAACGGTCCCTATTATTACCTTGTTACAACTTGTTACAAAGTTGTTTTATCTTTTTATAAAGTTTTTTGATGTATTAGAAAGTTGTTACAACTTGTTGGATAGTTGTTACAATTTGTTAGAAGGTGTTACAACTTGTTGGAACATTGTAGCAACATCTTAGTTTCATTTGTGTTTGGCACAATGAAACCTGCAAGAAACACTCGCCTAGCAGACCCTGGAAAACCTTACATGCTCGGTGGTACCATGGATACCTCTGCCGGGCCCGTCCTCGCTTTGTGCAAAATCGAGGGTTGCCCATCATTTGTGCCACCAGGCATTGTTCATACATTCTGCCTCCATCTTGCTGTCTGTTGGCTTGGTGATATCTTCGACCCCGAGTCCTTTTGGACTTGTTCATTGCTCTTCTTAACCCACCCTCCTATTAATGTTCAAGGGTACAAGGAGTTCCTGCTTTACGAACATTCGTCCATACACACATTCTCCCTAGTCCCCATGTACCCCTTCACGTATAAAATCATTGTACTAACTTACTGAAGTATCCTTTTAAATTTTGCAGCAGTGCGAGTGTCCGTGCAGCAGTCACGGAGTACAGTATTGTATGGGTGGGAGGGTGGAGGTGAGGGCTGTGAGGGGAGGTGCATGGGGGTGTAGGTTTGTGTGGTGAGTGGCTGGGTGTGTGAAACCCAGTGGCCTTAAGTCCTCAATGACTTCCCACAAACCCATCTGACTTAATCGGGTTTACTCTGTTGGTGGGTTGGGGCCCAGATTGGAGACAGGAGGGTGGGGAGGCATTTACTCATGAGGCCAATTACAAAATGGCAGACCACCAATACAGTTCGTATGTATTTTCATTTCTTTATTCATGTAACAATACCACTTCACTCTTCATAAACAGCTAACTTTGACAAGCAGAGTAACTCCATCATTCAAGGAAAATAATGTTTTGTTTTTTTTATATTAAAGTATATGTTCAAAAAAGATTGGTTTTGTGAGGATCTTTGATGGCCTGGGAATGTATCTATGATAACTAGAAAAGGTGCATACGTAGTAGTAGGCAGTGCATAGACATGCAAATAAATGGTTTCCAAAACTGAAAGACAAGAGCTACAAGGAGAGGTTAGAGGCAGTAAATATAACGAAGCTAGAAGATACTGTAGAAGATAAAGAGGCGATATGATCAGTACATATAAAATAGCGATGGGAATCGACAAAATTGATAAGGAATAATTCTTGAGACCTGGACCTTTAATAACAAGAGGTCATGGATTTAAGCTAACTAAGAAATGTAAGAAAATGTAAGAAATAAAAGAAAATTCCTTTTCACAAACAGAGAGGTAGACAGTTGAAACAAGTTAAGTGAGAAGGTTGTGAAAGCCAAAACCATTCCGTAGTTTCAGTGTTATATAACAGAGTGCTGGGATGATGAAACACTACAAGTGTAGCTCTCATCCTGTTACTATATTAAGGTAATTACTTGGGTAATTACACGTCGAGGCTGGAGAAGACCCCAGCTGGTGACCTCTCTCTCAACGCCTGAATATTGCCACATTTACTTTGGCTGTGATGGGGGCAAGGATGTCATATACAATATTTATTTCTAGTTTTCCGAGATCAGGAAAAGCATATTAATAATATTATAATGAAAATTTTGTTTGTGCAAATATTGGATGTGACACATTAAACTAACGTGCAGTGCAGGGGTTAATGGAATAAGCTAGAATCAAAGGAGAATAAGTTGCTATAAATGGAAGGAGAATAGGCTAGCTTGATAAAGGGAGCTGAGAAGAGATTCAAATTAAAAGCTACCAAGTGAGGTTCCAAATAAAGCCAAACAATGAAATTAAAAGCTTTTAACATTAGCGACCTCTCCAAAAATAACCATGAGAGAAAATACATCATAATACTGTGCAACTCTACCAACACAGAGCAAGGAATCTGAACTGGATGGAGGAGATATAGACATCCCTATGTTCCAATCCTGGCTTAAAAGGCTGACAAGATGTTTGCACCATGGTTAAAACCTTATCCTCCACCATTGGTAAACAAATGGAATAGAGTACTGTATATAAAAGAAAGTTGCCAGCAAAAGTGAAATTGGCTAATCAACCTGGATACTATCTAAAAGAATCCACCTACACGTACTTACTATTTGTGTCTGCAAAATCGTGTTATTACCTCTTGGACCACACCTTTATTACCAGTCTATATTTCTTCTATTCTTTGAGCGGCAGACTGTATGAATCTTCAACTGCCTCCTACAGAAGTGGCAGTTGCCAGAGCTGACAACAAGTTTATTTATTTATTTACTTATTTATTGATATACAAGAAGGTACATTGGGGTTGTGAAAGTACATTGCATTGGTGCTCTTACATTCTTGCAAAGTCACTAACATACATATAATTTCTGGCAGGTCCTTAATCTAACAGATAAGTTTATTAAGAGGTACAATGTAGCAAAATATGAGTTCAACATAATAACTACAATATAAATTACTGGAAATTATTACATTGGTGAAGTTACATGTATTAATTACTAATATTTGGGGAGTGGGTAGCAGAAGATACAGTGAGTTTGAAGCAAAAGGTAGGAAATTAGGTACTTTTTGGTTTTACTTTTAAATAAGGCATAAGTTGGACAATTTTTGTATTCATTAGGAAGTGTTCCATAGACTGGGTCCTTTTACTGGCATGGAGTGTTTGCACAGATTTGTTTGGACAAGTCTAACGAAGCACCAATGTATGCCGAGGACAACTCAGTCCATAATTGTAAACAAAACAGCTCCTGTCCAGCCATAAAACTCAGAGCCTCTGCTAATTGAACCCATGCCTTTTGATCATCCAAGACAATGTAGACGACATGTAGGGAGCCTAGAACAGGAACAGACCTGTTGCCAGGAACAGACATATGAAACAAGACATGAACAAACAGTGTCTGATTAACACAAGCAGAAGATGGCTCTGAGAGAAAGACATGAAAGATCAAGGAGACCTTCCAATTCATAACCTGTGATCGCAAACCAAATGCCATTTTCCTTGAGATGACAAGAAATTGTATAATAGCCTGGAAAAATCTGGGAGCTCATACTGCTTCCAGAAAGTGTTGGTAAACACTACTCCAAAAAGAGGCTAGATTCATTTTGGACACATAACCATGACATCAAAGCAGAAACATCAGCAAATCAATGCACTTCTGGTGCAAAGCCAGAAGGGACTATGAAACCCTGCACATAAGGATGTACCTGAGGACTCCAGTGGCACTATGAAGCACATCTGTAGGGGGCACAAAATAATAGTTAAGCTCGAACTGGGTGGGCAGATTCAGAATAGTCTCCATGCTTAAGAAGAAGCCCTCCACCCTGGGAACTAAGCACCTGGACAAATTGAATGACGCCCAAAATGACTCTTCATCACACTTCGTGTCCTTGGACCACAGATGCCAGAGATGTAGATGGGCCTTGGCTGGCAAAGATAAGCCATAGTTGACAGATAGAACATGGTTGAGACTCCACTCTGACCCAAAACCTACATGCTGGGCACCGGGGGAGGAGGAGGGACTACACGCAGAGACCCACCAAACTTCCGTTGAAAGACCCAAAGCTTTCTCAAACAAAAACAAGGATGAGAACCAAGCAAAGTGAGTGGGTTCCAACTCTCAAGCCACATCCCGAGCAGGCCCTGAAACCCATGCCTCCAACACAACTTATGCTGGTGCCTGCAGGGCTTCAAGCTTTGGACTTTTTGGCATACCAGCAAACCCCACTGCTGTAAACCAGCAGTGGGGACAGTGAAGTCATATGACATGTGGACTTACCGGAGCTACGTCTACTGGCAGTCAGGAGCTGATGCAGAACCAGACGTGGCCCTGGCACAAGTGTCCAAATCTAATGCCTCAAACGCCATCCTCATAGAAGAGGGGAGTAGGTGCCATCTTCACATCAGCAAAGCACATGCCTGCACAAGGCTGTAGCACAAGTGTGCATGCAAGCAATTGTCTTCTTAGTATCAAGTATGTAACAAATATTCTGATCACATTAATTTATCAAAATATATATAAATGACTGCCATATTTTCATATATATGTAGTAGATGTGAAAAGTTTCATTTCAGTTCAAAACAAAACAAAAAATATATATATTCTATGGTGTAACTTTAATATAAGTGACATCCAGACCGTGACTTTACACCTGTAGCATTCAAAACTTACTCATACAGAATTTTGCATGTGGTACATACAAACACGGTTGATATTTATTCACCTAGTCTTCTGATATGTAGTAAATTTGTCTCAAGATAGCCATTCATCTAGTCTAATGGACAGAAAAACTAAAAATAAATATCCACTATTCAGCTTTACTGTCCATTTATGAAAAACTGCATAAAAGTAATTCTTGAGCCTTTGAACCTAAAAATTAAGTCTTGAAATAATGATCATAAAATATATAGTGGCCAAATATTCACATTTATGAACGAAGCAAATAGGCTATAACTGACCTTGCCTGAACTCGGTAGAATGAGAGTGTGGGTAGGGATAGTCGGGACAACCCCTGACCTCAGGCGGAAGTGGTGGCCACTCCGTAAAAGAAGCCCCTCCACCCATGCTGCTGGTGGCTGTACCTGGGGTCGTTGTCAGTTCCACCTCATTGCCACTACTTGAGCGACCCACAGATATTTCCCTGCGAGGTTAGAATGCATGACATGTTATTGAAGTTGATTTTACAAGACATCAATTATACTTGAAGGTAACATGTGCAAGGTGTTTGTGGTCCAATTGAATTAATTTATCCAAATTAAGGACTGAACTAATCAAAATTGTGTAAATAAGATACAGTAATTAAATTATGAGGGGAAACCATGAAAAAGACTCAAAACTATTTCTAACATTTGAACACCTTGACAACAGGTAATGTTCAGTTTCTCTTACTCTCAGTTTTTTATTGGTCATTCCTTCTAAGTACTTTATTTACCAATAGATTCTTTGCCTAACATTTCATTATCCTATAAATATTATTGGATGACTGAAAGAGCATCTTAGGCAATAATTAACTTTTTTCACTTGCAGGCTTGACTTACATAAGTAAAGGAACCATCACCACTTGCCTGTAGCTTGTCAGAGGAACACAAGGAAAGATTAAGGATTGTCCTCTGGAGCATACAGAGATGGCGACAATTTATACAAAACAGGTAAAAGTCAGAGAAGTAAACGTAAGTTCAAAATACAGAGGCCCAAATTATATAATATCCTTTGCTAATTTGCCATTAAGTCATACCTGTGACTTAACATTTAACCTTGAAATATCAATAGGGATACTTTCCAAGCTTAAAACAGATCTTAAATGTGAGTCACTCACCTGTGGTCTAATATGGCAGTCACTCACCTGTGGTCTAATATGGCAGTCACGCACCTGTGGTCTAATATGGCAGTCACTCACCTGTGGTCTAATATGGCAGTCACTCACCTGTGGTCAAATATGGCAGTCACTCACCTGTGGTCAAATATGGCAGTCACTCACCTGTGGTCTAATATGGCAGTCACTCACCTGTGGTCTAATATGGCAGTCACTCACCTGTGGTCTAATATGGCAGTCACTCACCTGTGGTCAAATATGGCAGTCACTCACCTGTGGTCTAATATGGCAGTCACTCACCTGTGGTCTAATATGGCAGTCACTCACCTGTGGTTTAATATGGCAGTCACTCACCTGTAGTAACCTCTGTTTGTGGAGGCAATTGGTGTTGGCTTGATGACAAACACTATGACGCCCGTCACCACCAGAATGTATGAGAGGAAGTACAGTGGATGGAACTGAAACAAATGAGACATGTGAAGTACCCTGTACATTGCTTTTTCAAATTTGATCAAGTCCCCCAATTCTTTAAATAATATTTTAAAACTTCTGTCACTGTAACCTAATTTCCATTATGTTCATTATCTATTAATTCCTTTAAGCCTTCAACATTCACCAACTTCCACCATTCTATTTTAAACTTATACCATTGTATAAATGTCTCCCATTGACCGTATTTCCATGACAGTAGTATGTGAACAATCAAATATCAAGAGAAAGAGACATTCAATGCATCATTATCCTTGTATGTGCTCGATTTAAAGACTACTAATTTACTGAATCTCTATATTTAATAGTGTATGGAAGGGACATTTGTGGGGAATGTTCTGTGGTGAATATATGAAATAATGGTTGGCTCTGGAAGGGGGTTATGTTTCAAAACTCCCGACAGATCAGCAGCGTTTTTGCACGTGTACAGTGGCATAAATACAGTGGGAGACCGATTCCCTTCTGAACAGATATAAACCAAATAAAATGTTTATTCAGGTAAAAGCACATACATACATAATGAGTTAAACATAATGTTGGATTTCTAGATAGCGCTAGTACATACAATGCCTAAAGCTACTAATACGCACAGCGTTTCAGGCAAGGTGTGGGGAAAAAAA